AATCCTTATACTCCAATAAATTAGAAGATAGTGAAGGCATAGATAAATTTCTTAAATCATATGATCTGCCCAGATTGAGTCAGGAGGATATAGAAAACCTAAACAGACCAATATCAATTGAGGAAATAGAAGAAACCATAAAAAGACTACCAACTAAGAAAAGCCCAGGTCCGGATGGGTATACAGCAGAATTTTACAAAACCTTTAAAGAAGAACTAATACCAATACTTTTCAAGCTACTTCAGGAAATAGAAAAGGAGGGAGAACTTCCAAATTCATTCTATGAGGCCAACATCACCCTGATACCTAAACCAGACAAAGACACTTCAAAGAAAGAAAACTACAGACCAATATCTCTAATGAACCTAGATGCAAAAATCCTCAATAAAATTCTGGCGAATCGGATACAAAAACATATCAAAAAAATTGTACACCATGATCAAGTAGGATTCATCCCTGGGATGCAAGGCTGGTTCAATATACGGAAATCAATAAATGTTATTCACCACATCAATAGACTTAAAAATAAGAACCATATGATCATCTCGATAGATGCGGAAAAAGCATTCGACAAAGTACAGCATCCCTTTATGTTCAAAACTCTAGAAAAACTAGGGATAACAGGAACATACCTCAATATTGTAAAAGCAATCTATGCTAAGCCTCAGGCTAGCATCATTCTGAATGGAGAAAAACTGAAGGCATTCCCTCTAAAATCTGGAACAAGACAGGGATGCCCTCTCTCTCCACTTCTGTTCAACATAGTTCTCGAAACACTGGCCAGAGCAATTAGACAGACGAAAGAAATTAAAGGCATCAAAATAGGAAAAGAAGAACTTAAATTATCACTATTTGCAGATGATATGATTCTATACCTAGCAGACCCAAAAGGCTCTACAAAGAAACTATTAGAGCTAATAAATGAATTCAGCAAAGTGGCAGGATATAAAATCAACACGCATAAATCAAAGGCATTCCTGTATATCAGCGACAAATCCTCTGAAATGGAAATGAGGACAACCACTCCATTCAAAATATCTTCAAAAAAAATAAAATACTTGGGAATCAACCTAACAAAAGAGGTGAAAGACTTATACAATGAAAACTACAGAACCCTAAAGAGAGAAATAGAAGAAGATCTTAGAAGATGGAAAAATATACCCTGTTCATGGATAGGCAGAACTAACATCATCAAAATGGCGATATTACCAAAAGTTCTCTATAGGTTTAATGCAATGCCAATCAAAATCCCAACGGCATTTCTTGTAGAAATAGAGAAAGCAATCATGAAATTCATATGGAAAAATAAAAGACCCAGAATAGCAAAAACAATGCTAAGCAAGAAATGTGAATCAGGCGGTATAGCGATACCAGACTTCAAACTATACTACAGAGCAATAGTAACAAAAACAGCATGGTACTGGTACCAAAACAGGCGGGTGGACCAATGGTACAGAATAGAGGACACAGAAACCAATCCACAAAACTACAACTATCTTATATTTGATAAAGGGGCTAAAAGCATGCAATGGAGGAAGGATAGCATCTTCAACAAATGGTGCTGGGAAAACTGGAAATCCATATGCAACAAAATGAAACTGAATCCCTTTCTCTCGCCATGCACAAAAGTGAATTCAAAATGGATCAAGGAGCTTGATATCAAATCAGAGACGTGCCGTCTGATAGAAGAAAAAGTTGGCTACGATCTACAGTTGGTGGGGTCGGGCTCCAAATTCCTCAATAGGACACCCATAGCACAAAAGTTAATAACTAGAATCAACAAATGGGACTTACTCAAACTAAAAAGTTTTTTCTCAGCAAAAGAAACAATAAGAGAGGTAAATAGGGAGCCTACACCCTGGGAACAAATCTTTACTCCTCACACTTCAGATAGAGCCCTAATATCCAGAGTATACAAAGAACTCAAAAAATTAGACAATAAGATAACAAACAACCCAATCAACAAATGGGCCAAGGACCTGAACAGACACTTCTCAGAGGAGGACATACAGTCAATCAACAAGTACATGAAAAAATGCTCAACATCTCTAGCTGTCAGAGAAATGCAAATCAAAACCACCCTAAGATACCATCTCACTCCAGTAAGATTGGCAGCCATTAGGAAGTCAAACAACAACAAGTGCTGGCGAGGATGTGGGGAAAAGGGTACACTTGTACATTGCTGGTGGGACTGCAGATTGGTGCAGCCAATTTGGAAAGCAGTATGGAGATTTCTTGGAAAGCTGGGAATGGAGCCACCATTTGACCCAGCTATTCCCCTTCTTGGTCTATTCCCTAAAGACCTAAAAAGAGCATGCTACAGGGACACTGCTACATCGATGTTCATAGCAGCACAGTTCATAATAGCAAGACTGTGGAACCAACCTAGATACCCTTCAATAGACGAATGGATAAAAAAAATGTGGCATTTATACACAATGGAGTATTACTCTGCATTAAAAAATGACAAAATCATAGAATTTACAGGGAAATGGATGGCATTAGAGCAGATTATGCTAAGTGACGCTAGCCAATCCCTAAAAAACAAATGCCAAATGTCTTCTTTGATATAAGGAGAGTAACTAAGATCAGAGTAGGGACGAAGAGCAGGAGAAGAAGATTAACATTTAACAGGGATGAGAGGTGGGAGGGAAAGGGAGAGAGAAGGGAAATTGCATGGTAATGGAAGGAGACCCTCAGGGTTATACAGTGGAGGAGGTAGAGAGAGAGGAGGGGAGGGGAGGGGAGAGGTGGGGAAGGGGGAGGGTGGAGGATGGGAAAGGCAGCGGAGCACAACAGACACTAGTATGGCAATTTGTAAATCAATGGATGTGTAACTGATGTGATTCTGCAATCTGTGTATGGGGTGAAGGTGGGAGTTCATAACCCACTTGAATCAAAGTGTGGAATATGATATGTCAAGAAATTTGTAATGTTTTGAACAACCCACAATAAAAAATTAAAAAAAAAAAAAAGAAACAGTTTAAAAGCATATATTTTTCTCTTAGTGTATTCTTAGAAAATGCCACCACTTCTAAGTAGAGAGAAAGATTTTAAGGGTAATAAGGAAATAACAAAATCCCCTTGAGGTTATGTAAAGACACAACTTCCTTGTCCTGTGTGTCCTCTGTGCCACCCTATGCCAGCAAAGTCTTCTGGTTGTCTTTGTTTTGTGCTTCATGAGGACATACATGTGCTTTCCCCCTAAGGCAAGGGCTCTGGCATCAACGGTAGGTGAGTTTGTTCGTCTTGGATTCAACTTCAGCTGCTTAGGAATTTCCCAAACATTAAAATTGTCCATGAGTATTGTCCACTCATTAATATGTTGATACATATCTACTTCATGTGTCTGTGAAGGTTTTGGTCTGGCCAACAACTGGGAGAAGGGAGAATATAGGATATTACCTAGTAGGCAAAGGTTGATCATCTTTAACTTATCCTAAGGAACTATATCTTGGGACTTTGTCTTTCACACTTTTTAATATTATTTAAAATAAAATTTCACAAATTCATATTTCACTGTGGTTTTAGTCCAAGAATACTCTAATGATTTACTTTAAAGCTCTAAAATTTTTTATATGTAGAAATCCCTAACTTATGCCTATTTTTGGTCTCAGCAGCTAATTAAGTGATGTTATATAGGAAGCAGTTTACAGTGTCTCCTGGTGCTTTTCTTAGATTTTAACTAATAGCTCTGAATCCATTTTCCCAGAGATGAAACATTTTTTTCCCCTTAAATTTTTCATGATTCATGCATACTTGGAAGTTCATCTATTTGCCAAGTCCAGTGATCTCTTCCTTTCTCTTTGATGAGTTGACATCTCTGTACCTGGAAAACCTTAGGATAGCATAATCATCAACAAATTAAATGAAAGAGTTGTCTCAGCTGTGGGCATGGTGAGGGCAGCCTGTGGGTAGACTCCTCTCCAGGCACAAGATGGTATCAGGACACCACACCACAGGGAAAGCTGCTAGGGTAGTATAGTAGTCTGCTAGGGCTGTCATAACGAAGGTCACAGACTGTGTGGCTTAAACAAAGTTATTTTCTTACAATCCTGGTGGCCAGAGTCCAAGATCAAGCTATCATCAGGACTGGTTTCTTCTGAGTCCTCCCTCCTTGGCTTGTAGAGGGCTACCTTCCCTCTTTGTGTGTCTTTGTTCTACTCTCTTAAAAGAGCACTAGGCATATTGGATTTGGACCCATGCTCATGACTCATTTTTGTTTAACTATCTCTTAAAAGACCCTCTTTCTAAATATAGTCATATTCTGAGATTCTGGGGATTAGGTCTTTAATACACAATGGGCGAGGAAGAGCACACAATTCAGTTCCTAACAGGTGTCTATCAACTCCTCATATAGATGTCAGATTTCCAGCAACAGCAAAACTCCAAAACACTGCCTAAGTCTCTGCAGCCTGAGAATAAGGCAGATTATGAAGGCCCCTTTGTGTCAGGTGTTACAGGTCCCTCTCTGACTTCACAGACTCTTCATAACCCATGTAAACAAGATGCTTATCTGATTCCCCCAAAGCAGCACACCAGTGTGCAAAGTAACAGCAACCAGAAAAAAAAAAAAAAAAAAGACATATGCAGTAGGGCCAGATGTGCTGACCACAGCAGGAAGTACCTCCAGGGCTGAGAGGGCAGCAGGAGAACCTGAAAAGGGCAAAATGCTACTGTCAATTACCCTGTCACACAATGAGAGCAGATAATAACAATAACAGCTCCTGAGTTGTCAACATGACAACTCAGGAGCTGTTATTGTTATTAACAAAACTTATAATAGAAGACTGGAAACTTTCCCACTGAATATAGGTAAAATGGTCCGTGGCATTGAAGGAGATAATCTTCGATGATGAGAGTCACTCACCTATGCAAAGCTGAAACTTCCCAGTTTTGCTGAATAAGTGCTTCTTTCTGTATCTGACAGACAAGGTACTGCTTGGAAGTTATGTTTATTAGGTTTTTGTTGCAATGACCAAAATATCTGACAAATCAGATAAGGACAAATCAGGATGAAAAGTTTATTTTGGCTCGTGGTTTCAGAGGTTCAGTCTATGGGTGGCTGACTCCATTGCTCTAGACTCAAGATGAGGCCGAACATCATGGCAGAAGGGCACGGCTGAGGAAAGCTCCTCAGGTAGAAGCATCCTAGAATGAGAGAGTTGAGGTGGAAGGCGAGATTCGGAGGAAGAGCAGGGGACAAGATATAATCCCAAGGGCACTCCCCCAGAGACCTACTTCCTCCAGCCAGCCTACCTGCCCAGTACAATAGTCTCTTCAAATTATTAATCTATCAAGTGGATTAATCCACTGATTAGGACACAGCTCTCAAAATCTAATCATGAGCTTCTGAGGGACATCTCATATCTGAACCAAAACAGAAAAATCATGAAGACATTACTTAATCCCAGCTCTGAGGGCCAAGGCTTTCCTCTCATAATGATCATTAGATTTGTACTTAGTTCCCATAGAGATTTAACGAACAGTCACTGAAATTCACTAGCAATTGTCAAAGATTTTAATTTAAACCACATTCCTTGCAGTGCATGGTGAACTAATATTTCAGTGATTTCTGTAATGCTTTTATGGACAGTATGATTGTATAGCATTAAACTTTGTGTGCATGCATGTCAAAAGTAGTAATATATTTAGTAGAAACATTTTAAACACACCATGCTTTTTATATCCTTGTTTTGGCACACCAGGGCCTCAAAACTGCATGCGGTGGGCCGTTCTCTGCACCCCACAGCCCATGCCTGCTGTGTGCTCAGCCTCACCTTCCTCTGAAAAATCTCTTGGTTTGTATTTTGGGCTTCTGACCACTTTTAGTCTCACATCATAGTTATTTGTGAAACTGTTTTATCCATTTTACAGGATTGTGAGTTTAACTCCCATGGCTGCCTTCCACAGTAAATGTTAGCTGCTGTGTCAAATCCGGGGCACTCTATTGCTAACATTTTTCTAGCAAGAAAAGGTCTTACTATACCTATTCTTTTTTCCTCCTTGTTAATCCATTTGGTCCTTTGTGGTGCTGGTTGCAACGGCCTTCTGAGGTAACTCTCAGAACCCTTCCTTAAGCTCAAAAGAAATCACCCAGAATGCCTTGCTGGAGAGTGGGCACAGCTATGCTGTGCTAGTAGACCTTCTGGGTGGGTGAGGGCAAGGCCTGATGCCTAGTGTTTGCCAGTTGTGAATCACACTAAACATAAAGTTGGGGACAGAGGAACACAGCTGCCTCTTGCTACTTGAACAGACTTCGAAGGGCTCCATCCACCACAGATTCGAAGTTCAGGGTCAGTGGAAAAAGGCTATTATGCCTGAAACAGAGGAGCCAATGGAACCTTTCTTATCCTATACAAGGAAAACCTGTATTATGTATTCACAAAATTCTCTCATTTTCCAGGTTCACTTCCTTTTAGCCTTCCCTGACTAACTGCATAAGATGTTGACAAACCCTGAAATAGCTTTAAGGTCATGAGCCAAGAATCATGAATGGTTCAATTCTGAAGTTTCTTAAAGGGTTACTAATACCAGTGTAGTTCAAGACTCTTAGAATTAGCAGTAGGTAAGACTGACATTGAGGTTATAATCATTAACCCCAAATTAATTTTTTTTCCAAGAATTTGCTGAACTTCCTATCCCTTTGCACCACACATTCACTTCTAAGACACATGCCAAGGTGCTGTGACTCAGCAAAGAGGTATTAGTACCTCCCCTCCCCACCCTACCTTCTTTCCCCATCTCCACACATGGCAGTGAGCAGATTTTAAACCTCTTTCATCAGAGATTTTGTTTTACTCCATCTTCCAACCTGATGCTTTGTTCACAACATAGTCAAAACATATTGGTGAAATTAAATCTTACTTCTATAGTATATGAAAAAATACCTTTGTTTCCTCAAGACAGGTGTTCATAAATATTCATTGTATGACTGAATTTAAATGATTTCTAATTTACAAGAAACTTGTAGTTCTTAGAAAAACTGTTTTTCCTGCCTTAGACAATAGAGGTAGGTGTCTGGCTTGCTCTGCCTTTTCCTACTCAGAGCAGCAAGCATGTGATAGACCATCTTCACAAGTATGTTCTTCCCAAATGATCTCAGCTTTAAATATCTGACGTAGTTATGAAGCAAATATCAGCCATACTGGATTCTGGAACTTGAGGGGTAGGAAGACCTTGAGTCTTATTAAAAAAAAAAAAAGTCCACTAAAAAGTATATAGTTGAAAGAATAAAACAATAACAAATGTTAATTGAGGATAGAGGAACTGGACCCCTCATAAATGGCTGGTGGAAATGTGAAATGGCACATCCATTTTGGAAAACATTTGGCAGTTCCTAATAAGTTAAACTTGCCATGTGACACAGCAATTCTACTCCTAGATATCTAATCTACCCCAAATAAATGAAAACATGTTTCTATAAAGACATGTATAATTATGTTCATGGCTGGTTTATTCATAATAACCCCCAAATGAAAATAGGTCACATGTACATCAACTGGTGGGAAAAAATATGTTATGGTTTGTATATGAGGTGTACCCCCAAAACTCCTGTGTTATTACAGGAATGTTCAGAGGTGAAATGATTGGACTGTGAGAGCTATAACCTAACTAGTTTGAATGGACTGACTGGGTGGTAACTGTAGGTAGGTGGGGTGTGGCTGCAGGAGGTGGGCCACTGGGGGCATGTCCTAGAAGGGTTCATCTTCCCTACAGGACCCTTCCCTCCTCCCTCCAATTTGCTTCCTAGACACCATGAGGTGAGCTGCTTTCCTCTGCCCCACCCAGAGTGATGTCCTGCCTTACCTTGTGCCCAAAGCAATGGATTCCACTGTTACTGGATTGAGACCTCTGAAAACTTGAGACACAAATAAATGCTCCCTCTTCTGTTATTCTTCTTTTATTTTGGTCACAGCAACGCCAAGTTAACTAGCACACCATCCAATGAGATATTCTGCAGTAATACAAAGAAGTACTGATTCATGCTGCAATGTTGAAGAGCCTCAATAGCATTATGCTAATTAAAAGAAGCCAGACGCACACAAAACTACATATTGTATGATTCTAGTTATGTGAAATGTCCAGGAAAGGCAAATCTGTAATAGACAGAAAGCAGAGTAGTGATTGTTTTGGGGCTTGGGATAGCAACAGGAGTTGACTATAAATGGGTACAAGGGATCTTTGGGGGCTATGGGAAGTTGGAAAATTTTACACAACTACAAATTTATTAAAAATCATTAAATTTTATGTTTTAACATGGGTGAATTTTATGAGATGTTAATTGTACCTCACAACCTTTTAAAAAACAGCAAAACAGATAAGGTCTTTGATCAATTGTATTTAGCTGCAGATCGTCTTTGTCTGATTATGTATCCCAAAGGGGCTGCATGTCACCAAGCCATGTTTTTAAGTGAGCAGGTAAGGAAAGTGGCTCACTCTGGTGCTAGAGGAGGCAGGGGGTCAGAGCTAACAAATCAAAGGTGTATTGCCAGGTTTTTCTCCAGTTGTGGGCACAATAGTCACAGGGAAGTTCATGGCTCATTCACAGAGTTGAGCCTGTGCCCATCATACTTCCTGTCATGTAGCTGCGTCTGAGGGGACGTGTTCCTTTGAGTGGGTATGTGCTTCTGCTGCCACACAAATGCTGTTGTAGTGCACATAGGGAATGATACTACTGTGACCCCAGGAGACTGAGGACGCCTGGTTTGACAGGAACACATCTGACCTAAAAGGATGAGATTCTTTGCACCACTGATCTCTTCCCTACCAAAAGATAGCTCCTTTCTTCAGACTAAAAATAGAATAGGAAGCCCTCAGGGACCTGATATTTAACTTGGTTTTTTGATGTTGCCTGTAAAAAATATCCTGGAGCTTGCTCCAGAGCAGCCAAATGTAATGTGGCACTTCCCATGCAGCAACCAGCCAGGAGTTGGAGGAGTAGGAACTTTGGCAAGGAGCCTGTGATGTTCTTCCAGCCCCAGGGAGAAAACAATATACTATTTTTTGCATATCAATCTGGCAAAAATTATAATATACACACCATTCTGATTTGGAGCACTTAGAAAACAATGTGCCTAAGGGTCTCATCTGGGTGACATAATTTGCTTTCAACACTATCTCTAAAGACTGTTCTGCCCAGGTGGTCTCATTCTTTGATCCTGTCACTCCAGCTACTTTTTCATTTTCTTATCATTTGACTCCTTTGTCTGTACCTGATTTTTTGAAAAGGTACTCGCCTTTTTTGTTGTTTAATTTTTTTTTATTGAGGTAAGAGCACTTAACATGAGATCCATTCTTTTGACAAATTTTTGTGTACATGATGCGGTTTTGTTAACTATCCAGCACTATGTTATACACCTAATCTTTAGAGCTTATTCATGTTGCACAACTGAAACTTCTTACCCAGTAAGCAGTAGTTTCCCCATTTCCCCTCCCCCAAGCCCTGGGCAATGAACATTTTCCTTTCTGTTCCTGAGCTTGACTATTTCAGAGGCTTCGTGTAAATGAAATCATGGATGTTTGTCCTTCTGTCACTGGCTTATTTCCCTTTGCATAATGTCTTTCAGGTCCATCGCTCTGCCGCAAATGGTAAGATTTCCTTTTTTTAAATACTGAGCAATATTCCATTGTATGTATATACCATGTTTTCTTTATCCACTGATGGAAATTTAGGTTGTTTCTATAACTTGGTTATTACGAATAATGCTACAATGAATTCTTGAGTATGCAGATATGTCTTTAAGATCCTGATTTCAATTGTTTGGGTACATACACAGAAGTGGGATTGCCTGGATCCTATGGTAATTCTACTTTTAAAGTAGTGGGATTGCCTGTATCCTATGGTAATTCTACTTTTAAAGTTTTGACGAACTATCCAGACTGTTTTCTATAGCAGCTATACCATTATACATTCCCAGAAATAGTATACAGTGGTTCCAGTTTCTCTATATCTTCGTCACCACTTGTCTTTTTAAAAAATAATACATCTTTAAAAAATAACTCACCATGACAGATGTGAGGTGACATCTTATTGTGATTTTGATTTGCATTTCCCTGATGATTTATATTCACCCTTATATTATTCATACCTGGTGAGGCCTGGAATACAGCAGATGCTCTCTGAGTGTTTGTTGATTGAGTGAGTTAAGTACAAACAATGATCCTATGTGAGTTATTGGAGAGGAGAAGGAAGTGTTCTTGACAGAATAACACAAAGTCCCCAGGCTGGTAGAATGCCAAACCTTTTGTTTTTATGTTAGAAGGCTGCCACAAACTGGATGTGGTGGTGCATACCTGTAATCCCAGCTGCTCAGAAGGCTGAGGTAGGAGGATTTTGAGTTCAGAGCCAGCCTCAGAAACATAGTGAGGCACTGAGCAACTCAGTGAGACCCTGTCTCTAGATAAAATATTTTTTTTAAAAAGGGAGGAGATGTGGCTCAGTGGATAAGCACCCCTGGGTTCAATCCCTGGTACAAAAAGGTTGGGGAGTGTTGCTGCCACAAGTGGCTAGGACCTAGGGACTTGGAGTCACTTAAAGTTTACCACAACAAGAGATGTTTTTAGAAGGAGTGAAATTAAAACATTTAAACAATCTTCTTAAAATCATTATTGTCAATACTTGATGTTTTTGAGTGCTTGTATTATAGCTAAGTTTAGGATTGGTTTCTTTTCAATCCCTCCCAGACTTTAAGGCAAACCCCAAGAGTCTACCTCTTTAGTTGCCTTTGCTAAATCCCTGATTTATTGAAGTTTAAAAAAAAATTGTTTTCAATAGTATTTGTTTCCCCTTTCTTTTCTTTTTTCTTTTTCTTTCCTTTTTTTTTTTTTTTTTGGTACCAGGGGTTAAACCCAGGGGTCCTTAAACACTGAACCACATCCCCAGCCCTTTTTATTTAGAAACAGTCATTATTAAGTTTCTAAATTGCTGAGGCTGTTTTTGAACTTGCAATTCTCCTGCCTCAGCCTCCAGAGCTGCTAGAAATAACAGGCATGCACCACTGCATGCCCAATCCTTCTTCTTTTGAGTCCCCATAGACCTTTGCACTCTCCTGGTTCATTCTCCTTACTTTATTCCATCTCTGAGACATCTGTCCTGTCTCTATCTCATCCACCCTTCTCTCCACGGTAAGTTCTGTGAGCACAGCATCTTTGTTTCCTACACAGAAACAAACAGGTTCCAAACATTTGTTTACTTGGACCGAATAATCAAATCACTAGGTTGGCATCAATACTTTGTCAGGCAAGGGAGGCAACTCTGAAATGGCTTATTTTAAGTGCCATTTCATGCACTGCTTAAAATAGATCTTCTAGAAACTGATATCTATGCATATGTGTTTTGATTCAGTTTTAAAATAGAGAAACATTTTTTTCCTAAAAAACCTTCACCAACCTGGTAGATATAGAAAGAATATTTTCAGTTGACCATAATTATTAAAACAATGACTAATTCTGGGGAGTCGAAACTAGTAGAGAAACTCGACCTCTTTTTAAAATTGTTGCTATAAAGTATGTATAATTGATATTTTCAGCTTTTGAATAATATTTACAAGATGTTTTGCCCAGTATGACATATCTTGATTTAACATTATTCTATATGGTCAAGGCAATTTTTTTTTCAAGCTACCTGGACTTTGTTAGTTTCACTGTAAAAAATTTCAGTGGAAAACTTTCCTAATGTCTCTCTCATTCTCCTGTTACTAAGGGCATTTCTGGAAAGGGCATCTTGGGTTTTTTCTGTCTCCATTGGGCATAATGGGAGCAGCAACATTAATTGGGTAAAATTTATTTGAGCTAGATTCTGGTGTCGACTTTGGCAGTAAATAAATGAGTGGTCTGAGGGAACCTTCCTTTTTTTTTTTTTAATCTGAATCTATGTTATGAGGGGAGAAGGCATCATAATCTATGATCAGCAGCAGGTAGGATTTCCAACCCCTCCTCACTTGCCAAGATCCATGCTGAGAATTTGTGTTTCACTTCCTATTTTCCCCATGCATAAATATATCAGCCACTCTCAAAAGAAACCAGGACAAGTTTCTGGAGGTGAAGTGAGGACCAATCCAGGGTGGCAAGGCTTTTACCATGCTTGGGATGGGGAGTGGGAAGAAGAGACCTAAGCATGGGAAGGGGCAAACTACAGAAGAAATTTCAGTAAGAATGTATACTGCTGGCTGGGGATGTGGCTCAAGTGGTAGTGTGCTCGCCTGGCATGCGAGGGGAGCTGGGTTCAATCCTCAGCATCACATAAAAATAAAATAAAGATGTTGTGTCCACCGAAAACTAAAAAATAAATATTAAAAAATTCTCCCTCTCTCTCTCTCTCTCTCTCTCTCAAAAAAAAAAAAAAAAAGAAAAGAAAAGAAAAAGGGAATGAGGACAGAGGAAGGTAATTGGGCTAGGAAATCTGTGCCCAGGGCAATTGGATAATCCTAGCAGTTGTAGGATTTTTCAACAGGAAATTTGGATCCTTATATGATTTCCCGCCACACCCAATCCCCATATGCGCTAGGATTGCCTTCTAGCAGCCTCAGTAAAGTCAATTCTGCTTTAAAATGGACCTCCTTCACATTCAAGGGGAAGTAAATAATGCCAAACGAAGATTAGATTCTCTTGTTGGGAAAAGGCAGGAGTACGTTGGATAAAGCCCTCTCCCTGGCCTAGCTCACCAGCGGAGGTCCTGAGAATCGAGTTGGGTCCATGAAATCTTTTTCCCAGTTGGAGTCCACTAGATTCTGCTCTTCCAGGGGTTTGCCTCTGTTCTCGGCTCCAGGGGTGTATTCTAAGCACCCCTTCCCTAGACACGGCTGGACCCTAGACAGTGCTATTCATATCCTGCTTTCAACCTGGATGCAGTATCCTTTTAAACTGGGGGAAGAGAAAGATAGGAGGAGGAGGCAAATAGACAAGGTTCCACAGTAACTCCTGCTACTTTCTGAATTTGCTTGGGAAAGTTGGGCC